AGTTTTGGGGGAATTTATGGTATTTTTTAATTAATTTGCCTGAATTTGTCAAAGTTTATGTAAAATTTATTTCATTTAGAGGTGGCAGAAGGATTCGCCCAGGGCTCCACACAAGCTAGAACTGCCACTGTGTGCCATTATTTTTCAACAGTATTATACTGAACTGACCAGCAGCTTCAGTGATTAAGAAACGCTCTTGGTCTGTGATTCAGTTGCAAATAAAGAAAAGTTTGTGTTTTTCAAGACATTTTGTGACTATTCTTACATCATAAACAAAGTGCAAAACAAAATTTGATCTCTTGATTATTTTATATTTTATAATAGTACATTTTATAAAAAAGCAAAACGTAAAAATGAATGACTAATAGCCAATAAGTGCTCCTCTGTTGCCATCTACTGGTTATAGTGGTAATTTGATGTATTTTTTTTATTTTTTATAATTGTTTGAATACCACAAAATGTATTTGGTTATCCTATTAAAAGTACCATTTAAACTGGATCATATTTAGAGCTTTAAAGTGCTGTAAATAGTTGTGCTGTCACTGAAAAGTGCTTGAATTTCTCTCTAAAAAGGTTGTACAAAGCCTGAAATGAATGAGGTAATAACATTTGACTATTTCTGCCACAACTTTTGTTTTGTTTGCCGTTTGAAGTTTCTCATATGCTACAGAAATGGCAGTTGTTTTTAGTTGGGCAAGAAATAAAAAATAAATAAATAGTCGGGGCAAAAAAAAGGTTGCAGTCTGCCTTATTATTTGATGCTTCAGCTATATTATTGCAGAGCTCTAAATATTTTACCTATTAAAGCAAATCTAAATCAGCTTGAAGATGTATAACCATCAGCACTATTAATGAAGAATAAACACCAAGCTGTTAGTTCTTCAGTATCTTCAGTGTGTTTGATTCTGCAGGGTTCTGGATCTCTCATCTTCTCTCTGTCCGCAGATTTCTTCCTGATGCTTTGATGCTCGTCTTCTCTTGTAAACTGATGGGGATATTGCAGCATTTATTGGTGAATTGCTGAATGTGTGATTGCTGTGAGGAGCTTCACTGAACATGAATTTCTGTGTGGAAGAAGCAGATTTGCCAAAATAAACAATAAATCAGTTTACTTATTTTTAACTAATTTACACATTTAAGCATTAATATAAGTAAAGCAGATGGGCACGCTTCAATTATAACTATGTTGTGGCGATTAATTAATCTAATTAATCGCAAATTAGTCGCACATCAGATTTGGCTGAGAAATTACTCCCAAAAGATCATTTAACGTCATTGTTGTGTAAAGCATCAAACAGACATTACAAAAAGTAGCTTCAGCAAGAAATATTTTGTTTGATAAAATTTATTACATATACTCTTTTGGACCACGAGGGTGAGTAAATGATGACACAATTGTCATTTTGGGGTGGGTGAACTATACCTTTAATAATTAATTTTATTAATTTTATTATTATTACTATGGAAATATTAAATAATTTCTTTAATGAAATGATACTCTAAATAATAAACTAAAACTGTCAGTAGGTGGTGGTAAATGTCTTAGTGATTAAGTCATTGAGTCATTTATTCATTCATTTGATTCGTTCAAATGGCTGATTCATTCAGGAGTGAAGTAAATGGTTCTTTATGAATGATTCATCATTAGGCTTGTTCGACTTGAAGCGGATCATCACCACCAGATTGATCGGTGTGTGACATCAAAGTACCGCGAGAGCGATTAGAGAGCAGACGGCTCCTTATGCTTTTGAATCGCTCTCGCTGTCCTTTGATGTCATACACTGATCGGTCTGTGCAGCGCCACTTCAAATCCAACGCGCCTATGGCCAACGGTCGACTTCACATTGCTTTCATAGGCAATTTTTAACTACCACATTCCTATTTACAATCATTCTGGTAGCATCAGTGAAAACAGGCAGAGACAATTATTAGCTTTAGCAACATTAGCCTTACAGACTCCTTTGTCTGGAGCTGACATTCACAAACGAAGCATTGGTATTGATCCCTCTTTCAGAATCAACTTTTCTAAAATCCAGCGTTGAAATGACCCTCCTTTGTGAGGCAGTCTGGCGTAAAATGATTGGTACAATCATATAGGACTTTACCAATTTTTTCCAGGACATTTCCTTATAAAATTAAACTTTACCACATTGTCCTCAGCAGCTCAGATGGAGGGAGTCTATGGAGACTCCTATGTTTATTTGTGCATCCTCAAACACAACACTTATAATGCCTCTTTAGCACTGACAAGCAGCTACAGCAAGAAAACAGTAATGTCGGACTGCTGCTTCTGCCTCAGTGCTGTGTTCATGCTAATAGGGCCGAGAGTGTCACTAATGGGCGGTACTTTTTCCCTACAATGACATGTACACTCTTAAAAATAAAGGTGCTTCAAAAGGTTCTTCAAGCGATGCCATAGAAGAACCATTTTTGGTTCCACAAAGAACCATTCAGTCAAAGGTTCTTTAAAGAACCATCTCTTTCTTACCTTTTTGTAATCTGAAGAACCTTCTTTCGCCACAAAGAACCTTTCGTGAAACAGAAAGGTTCTTCAGATGTTAAAGGTTCTTTATGGAACCATTTAGACAAAAAGGTTCTTCTATGGCATCGTGAAGCACCTTTATTTTTAAGAGTGTATATAGGGAGAATCTGGAATCGCTTGTTCTGAGAGACTGTTTATGATTTATTGGGATTATAAAAAAGTGGGCGGATTTTTACCATTATAGGCTGGTTGTTTTCACAAGCTGCAGCCACACAACGGTGTTCAAACACCTTATAAAAGTGTTTTTTGCATAATAGGTCCCCTTTAAGTAAAATGTTATAATCAACACATTTCATGATTCATGGATCATACAAAATTCTTTTGATTTAAGTGGGCCCACAATGTATTTGGATAAGTTTTTTTTTTTTTTAAAGATGATGTAAAGATGAATGTAATTGCATTAAAAAGTACCTAACACCCTTTGCAAAAATAATTTTGTCAGGTTTTAAGTTAAATACCAAATATATATAGTTTAAAGTGAAAAAAAAAAAACAATTTGAACTTTTCAAATGATAGTGGTTACTTTGCACATTTGTGAATTTGAGGGGAACCCACAGGTATTCTGTTAATACAGGTGCCATCTCAAAAAAAATTTGAATATCGTGAAAAAGTTCGTTTTGTTTTGTAACTTATTTCAAAAAGTGAAACTTTCATATATTCTAGATTCATTACATGTAAAGTAAAACATTTCAAAAGTTTTTTTCTTTTAATTTTAATGATTAGAGCTTACAGCCCATGAAAGTAAAAAATCCAGTATCTCAAAATATTAGAATATTTCCTAAGATCAATAAAAAAAGGATTTGCAAAACAGAAAAGCACAAGTTCTTTAAAGTTTGTTCATTTATGCACTCAATACTTGGTCGGAGCTCCTTAAGCACAAATTACAGCATCAGTGAGGTGTGGCATGGAAGCGATCAGCCTGTGGCACTGCTGAGGCACTATTGAAGCCCAGGTTTCTTTAATAGTGGCCTTCAGCTTGTCTGTATTGTTGGATCGAGTGTTTCTCATCTTTCTCTAGGCTGCATTGACTTTGGACTTGATAAAACACAATGGACCAACACCAACAGACGTCACAGCACCCCAAATCATTACTGATATGGTCATTTAATGAAACTCAAATGTAAATATTCTAATATTTTGAGATACTGGGTTATTGACTTTCATGAGCTCTAAGCTCTAATCATCAAAATTAAAACAAAACAAATCTTTTGAAATGTTTTACTTTACATGTAATGAATCTAGAATATATGAAAGTTTCACTTTTTGAAATAAGTTACAAAAAAAACTAAAAAGATTTTTTTCACGATATTCTAATTTTTTTAGATTTTTTGTAGGAAAGTTAACATAAATAGAGCTGCCCAGACATCATTTTACCTAGCAACTACCATCAGCTCCCAGGCCAGCTGGGAGACATAATCCATCCAGTACATCCTAGATCTGTTCGGGTTCTCTTCCCAATAGGACATGCCCGGAGGGAACCATGAAACCACGACTTCTGATATGGAGGTGTTGACCTTCATCCCCACGGCTTCATGCTCACTTACAGACTGACCCAATAAGTGCTGTAAGTTACCGCCTGGTGAGGTCATCAGGACAACATCCTTGGAAGGGGTGCTCCATGTTTTCATACGGTCTTCTGGTGGAATGACAAAAAAAACAATGTGAGTGTTGGAGGCACTAGTGTGTAGGCAGGCGTTTAGATACATTTTCATATTGTACATGTCTCAGAGTGAGTTACCCCTTCCTTGGATCACCACGTTAACATGGAGGAGGCATTTTAAGGGATTTGTACATTCAACAAATGTAAATCTAAAAAAAAAACATAGGCTTCAACACTTACCCTTAGCTGTTACTAGTCACTACTGAAAGAGTATTAGTATCTAATAAACAAGAACTGGTATCTAATGAATAAGTGCTGCTAGTACCTAATGCAATAGGGGTTATGCACAGCATATTTCCACATGCTGTTAAACAGGTCTCAGCGCTTTCGGTTCAACCGTTTATTATATTCTTTGTTAAATATGAAGCTCCTTTACTCAAGATGCCTTCAAAGTAGATACAGTACATACAGTTAGATGTAACAGTAGATACAAAATGATTATAACCAATGTCCATCACATATAAGTTTTTTTTTTCTATTTTTATTCCTTTCACAATGTTAACGTGTATGGAAAATAACATGTATGTGGAAAATAATGTGTTTTTTGAACCTTAAACCGCATAAACACATTTCATTACACCAAATTTTTAACTTTAACAGATACTTCCTGTTTATAGTTTTAAAATGACCATATGACCATTGCAAAATATTGCTTGTTAACCTGTACAAAGTAATATATTTGTTTGTTTTACATTTATTGGTGTTTTGTAATTTTATTGTACTTGTTTTATTACCCTTAAAACATTAAAATAAAAATGCTTTAGTGTCAACCTGTCTGTTTTGGTACTTGTGTTTCAGGGTGATAAATGCAGGTAAGAGTGCTCTGAATGAGGACCAGGCATGCTGTGAGGTTGTACTGGTTAAGAAGAAACCTATAGGATCCTTGACACCCAGAAAGCTGCCTACAAGTAGAAGGAGGTCGTCTCTTCCCAATAGCGATGGCATGGGCATGTTGGAAAATAATGTAAGTGCTTGTTCACAGTACCAGGGTTGAAAAAAGAGCATCTTAATATCTGTGATTAATATTTGCTGTTTGACGCTTTAAAAATAATAGACACATTAATACAGTGTCCAATTTTTTCAATTCTTAAAGTAGCTATGCTAATGTTTTTTATTGGCTGATCTTGGTTAGCATTACAGTATTTGATCACACTATCTTAGTACCTCTCACCATCTACACAAAGCAAGAGAGAGCAGCTGACCAAGGATGGTACACTCTCAGAAAAAAAGGTGGGTCATTCCATAAACATCCCAAAGTTCCCCAGCTCAAACTTTTGATTTTGTCAGTATTTTTTCTGAAGAAAGATAAACATGTATAGCGATGATAGCCAAAATATTAAATGTCATGGATGTACATTTACTATCCACTATTTTGTAGACAATTTTCACCTGAGATTCAGAGCCAAATTACATGAGGGTAAAAATGACTTTAGAAATATGGCAGTTATTTTTACACAGAGATTGGTAGGTCTATGAGTAAGATCTGTTGCATTATATGCCAATGATGACCATTCAAAACTGGGAAAAAGCACTTTTCAAGGTTTTTTTCCCTCCAAAGTTTTCATGGCTGTAACTCAAGAAATATTAAAGATAATAAGATAAATCTTAAATGCCCTTTTAGATTTTGGGTCTTAACAAACATTCCTTATAGCATCTTCATTTTTAAGGGGTCGACAGTTCCGCCGGCGGAAATTTTTGCTAAGCACAAATGTCAGGGCATGTCAAAACTTTTCCAGGCCCCAAAACACCCTCAGACCCCAGAGGGTTAAGGTCCTATATGGTTCCATTTCAGCGATATTGGGATCTTAGTATGGCTCCAGGAGTAAGGAGTTGTTCAGTTGCACACATTTTTAGTGGCCATAAAAATAAAAAAAACAAATGTGGGTCACTTTGCATACATATGATACTTTTTTCTTTTAGAAATGTACTAGAAATGTTTCTTGTTTCCCTCGATCAGTACAATTTCATAGAATATGGGATCGAACCATATAGGGCCTTAGGAATGAAGATTACAAAAGAAAAGTTTATGAACCAGAATTTAAAATTATATTGAGATATTTTAATATTTCTTGAGTTAAAGGCATGCAACCTTTGGAAAAATAATATTTATGGTATGTAGACAGGTTTTTTTCTATGCAGTTGTTTTGATAGAGGGAAACAAGATACATTTCTATCATTTGTTCTCATACATTCTTCTTTAAAAAAAAACAAAAAACATTTGTATGTACCCACATTTTGTTCTTGACCACTCAGTATGTGTACAATGAAACAATTTACTATTGGAGCCAAATTGAGATCCATATATCTCTGGGACTGAACCACACAGGGCCTTAAAAAGCACAAAAGCTGTCACTGGGGCAGTATTTTAAGGGTATATATTAGTGTCACAGTATTGGACGTTTGGTTCTGTTTTCCTCCCTCATGTGCCCATATTTGGTCGTTCCTGTTCCTGTCCTCATTGTGTCTTTATTAGTTAACCTCCTTTCACTTGTGTCTTGTTGTTAATTAGTCATTAGTTCCCTTTCGATACTTCACTCATACTGCGTCTTGCTTAAGACGCATATGGGAAAAAGCCTTTTTTTCTCCTGAACTGAAGCCTATTTCATTCACGCAGTGAAACTGCACGGCCATTGGTTCGTGCAGGGCTTTAAAAAACTAACCAATGGCGCGGCAGCTGAGCTGCACGAGCCTATGGCAAAAAGGCTTTTTCCCATATGCGTCTTAAGCAAGACGCAGTACTCGTTCCCGTATCTCAGGGAACCGTGGTTACGTTAGTAACCGAGTACGTTTGTATTTGTACAAAACATTCCGTTTGTATAAATTCCCTTCCTTTAGTTCTTTGAGTATAATTGAGTAATATTCTTTGTGGCAAAATTGTTTATTGCTGTTTATGCATCATTAAATCAAGCCAGTGATTATAAATGGTCAACCTCACACTTCCTCTATGTAGCTTGAAAATTGTTATTTAAGTTGAAATTAAATTATATACTGAAATCTTTATAATCACTTGAGCTGTCAGTCACAAGTTTATCAGTGACTGAGTACTGAAATCTTGTCAAAACTCTAGTTATAATCATTGACATTGTCTACACTGCACAATGTCCTGCACAAAAAAACTCCTATTTACATTATGTTTGCATTGTGTTAGTTATGATAAAAGCATTCATGAGAATGAGGAAGTCAGTGACAAGATTTGTGTGCTAAACAGGCATGGCTGTGATCAGCAGTAGTCTACAGCCTTTCATGTAATGGGAGTTTATCTAAATATAATGTTATAATCAACAATTTTCATGATTAGTTAATCTCATCATGTTATAGCAAAAATGTAGTAAATGCTTTCAGAAGAGTTCAATAAACCAGAATTGTGCTTGTTCATTGAAGATGCAGGACACCACCTAGTAGCGCATTACAATAATCCAGTTTTGAGAATATGAATGCATGAACTAGCCTTTCTGCATCTGAAACAGGTAACATTTTTCCATAACTTGGCAATGTTTTGATTTTCAAAAGACTAGTTACTGTCTATGACACTTAGGTCTTTAACTGTAAAGGAAGAAGTAACAATACAACCTTAATGCAAAACTTATGTGTACAGCATTTTGGTCCAATGAATAATATCTTTATTTTATCAGAATTTAATAGAAGAAAATACCGCTCATCCAGTATTTAATGTCGTAAACATGCTCTGTTAACTTGGATGTATTAGACATTTTTAGAAGAAATATATAGCATCTTCAACATAACAATGGAAACTAATCTCATATTTTCTAATAATTTTTCCAAGGTGCAGAGTGTATCATGAAAACAGCATGTATAATGAAAACATTATTAAGATTGATATGTTTTGGAACGTGTATGTGCTGGTCATAAAACAAATAATCAGAATATCAGAATATAATTGCCTAATTATTATGCAAAAACTGCAATGTCCAGAGGATTTTTTTTTTAGAAAGTTCCTGCAATTGAAAAAGGCTTTTATAAAAATGAATAGATCCCGTTGTTTACAGTTGTTGTGAAATACTCTATAAACACACATCTGTCACCCTATTTTGCAAAGTGTATGATGTAACCATTTTAATAAGTAAACCCAATGAAACTCTGGTTTAATGTGATTTTAGAATAGCAAAAGGGGTTGTAGGTCCCCCATCCACGTCATGCCTAACAATGTCCCTTAGCTGTTCTAAAATAACTATAAACCACAAATTGCTGGGAAATTGCTAAGCAGCTGCTGTTTGCTCTGTTGTATTATGTAGGATTGTATTTTTCCACAAGACTCAGAAGGGCTGGTCTTCCATTACTGGGCTCTGTTTGATGGTCACGCTGGCTCAGGAGCGGCAGTGGTGGCTTCCAGACTGCTACACCAACACATTGTGGAGCAGCTCCAAGGTGTTCTGGAGGTCCTGACTAACTTGGCGTCTCTTCCCCCAACTGTATTGGGTGAAGAACCCAACTACCATCCATCCCCAGGCACACAAAGGGCTCTCACCCGGGCTGCTTCCCTACGCGGTGCCACTGGTGCCTCTGGCTCTCCCTGCACCCCTCCAACACGGTTCTTTGTGGAGAAGAAGGTCCAACATGAAAGCCTTGTGATTGGTGCCTTGGAGAATGCCTTCAAGGAAATGGTGAGGTCCAGTTCTGTGTAGTTTCCACAAAAGTACTGGATGTGGTTTGAGTTTGGTTTGAGTTACACTTTTCAACAGAAAGGAGTTTTCCAGTTCCAGCGATATTAGAAAAGAGAGAATGAAACAGCTGTATAAAATGTAAATATTTAAAATGTATAAAATATATGTTATTAAATATATAATAAATATTTTAAATATATATTGTATTGAAATTTGGATTTACTTTAATGCTTAACTTTTAAACCATATTACAGTAATGTTTTCCTAAAAGAACAAAGGGGCAAAGAGTGCTTCCTCGATACAATTTGGATGAGAAAAAAAATTGTGTGTAGTTAATGTGAGGGAGAAACAGCCAGATATAGACGAAAAGTCGCATGAGAAGAGGCGGTGCCTCTACCTAGCTGTGACTGGCTCATAACCCTGTCATTGTGATGCTTGTTACCGTAAGTTAAATTTATAGAAATGGATGGACAAAACTAACTTATGTGTCATCACTTGATCTTGTCCGAAACAAACTTGAACTTTAAAGTTCTTGAAAGCCTTTGTCTCTTACTGAAGAGTTGACAAGTTATTGTCATCAACATGACATATCGCAATCAAAGGTAAAATAATAAATAAATAGTTTGCCAAAGGTAAAAATAATAATACAACTAACAAAAAATTAAGTGGTACTGCATAAACAAAGTGGAAAAATTAGACCTCTTGTATAGACTAATCTCACTCACAGGTATCAATGTAATTTACATAAAACTGAATCACAAAAGAACCACATAGATGGCAGCGTAGTGTACTGTTGCTAGCTAGAGAACTGAATGCACCTCAACCATGGTAAAATCACTGTAAGCCTGATCTCATGTCTCTTCTTGCTTATAGCAAAAACAATATGGTAAAAGACAACATTGTTCAGTAAATATTTTAATTTCCTGCTAATAGTAATTACAAAAATAGCATTAAAATGTTTTGCAACATAACATTTCTTATTAAATGTACACTGTATTTTTGATGCTTTAATATAGAGTTCAGTTGATGTGTGGCCACATGTGTGCATATATGAGATATTTTACAATAGTTTTGTAAAATAGTTTTCTTTACTTCATTTCCATGTCTCTATGCATCTGTGTTTATTTCAGGATGCCCAAATCGAGACAGAGAAGGCTATATACAATATCTCTGGTGGCTGCACTGTGCTTGTAGTGGTCTTCCTGCTGGGAAAGCTGTATGTTGCTAATGCTGGAGACAGCAGGTAAGATATATAGGGCTATATATAAGGACTGTCTGGAAAGTATCCACACATGTAATATGAAAAATATGAGATATAATAGCCTACAGTGAAAACAGCCGCAGCTATGAGCAGCTGGTGATTGCAGGGTTGCCAATTTTCACGCATTTGGCGTGAGACACATGCTTCCTGGCTCTGTCTACGCTCTCACTCTGCCCATGTAAATCTCATGCCAAATTGGCAACCATGCTTGCGATGTGAAACAAAGTATCAGCTTTCAAATTCTGTACGTTTTAATACCAAATTCAAACAAAAAATACCATTTTGGCGCACTTAATGTGGCGTAAATCGTAAAATGAAGGTGACATATCATGAAAATCTGACTTTTCCAGGTTTTAAGTGCTATAATCAGGTCCACGGTGCATCTACCAATCAAGGAAATGTGAAACAGATTAACCCAGTAGCTTTGTTTTGGTAAGCCTTTTTCTCTGGGGCATAATATGTCTCCTTTAAAGCCAGAGCTATTGAAAAACAGAGTTGCGACAAGCTTTGATCTCGCCGGCGCGGTCACGTGATCCATAGAGCTCTCCAAACAAACCAGCGTTGACAATACATTTTAACTGGACAGCTTCATTATACAGGTATTTGCAGCAATTGTTTTGGTAAACATTACAGCATATTATGCATTGAGTATTACGTCGATGACATTTACAGTATCATCTTTATTCTGTTTTTTTTTTTAACCCTCAGGTATTGCTTACTTATAATGTGACCATACAGCTTAACTATTTTTCAATTAAATAAGTGTATATTTTAGTTCAATAATATTTATTTAATATTTTGAGGAGATCTTTTGGTGCCAAGTACTATTTGTGCAATAATTATGGTCCATTAATGACTTAAAATATTTTTTTCTAATATTTCTATTACTCATATTACAATTAGTGTAGTATTTAAGGTTAAAATAGAGAAAAGGGTTTTAAATTCCTAAGCAAAGAGGCAAATTAGAGTCATTTTGTGGTCAGAAAAAAATCATTTTCATTTGTAATGCCATGGTTTACCCATAGGTACCTGTATGGCTCTTTACTAAATATATCTAGAATATTGCAGGTCATACCTGCGTACTTATTTTTAAGTTCTTCATTTGAATAAATATTTAAACATGATTAAACACTAGATTTTTAAATGAGAAATTTAAAAGGCATTCAACTGCATTCAATTCAAACTGCATTCAATTTTTTGAGGAAAATATAAAGACCAGACCACTATGGTAATAGTATTTATTTAAAGAAACTAAATAAATAAAGGATTTAAATGGATTTAGGGGAGAGAAAAAAAACAACAACAGTAAAAGAACAAGAATTTTTTTCAAAGTAATCAATCTGAACTGCAAATAATATTTTTATTTTAAAATATGCACCCATTAAATTTCAGTTGTATTGTTGAAAAAGCAAAACAGAACAATGCTATTGTCATAATCAATTATAAATTACATGAATCATGTAAATGGCAGACCTACTTTCCATTCGAAACTGTGGAATTTGACAAAAAAAAAAAGGTTGAATAGTTCGTTTATGTCGGGGAACGCTACGTTTCTTATACAGTCGAGCCGACTGTTGCAACGAACGCAACTTTCACCGCACAAACTCTTTACTTTCAGTTTTCATTCTTACATTAAGCATTAACAGCAACCCAAAAGGGGTAAGCTTTCAACTGAACTGTATAGTCTACATGCATTTTAGATGCTTATAGTATGCTCTTGCCCCGTCCATGCACGTTAGGCTATTATGAGCGGGTTTTTTAAAACATTAAAACCACTCAGGTAATTTCAGTGGTAGGCTATGATACATATTCATGTAGCCTATTAAACTCCCCGTAACTCACAAACTCCCCGTGATAGCGCGCAAATATTTCTGCCCGTTTTCGCTCGTTGTCAGCCTCTGCTGCTTTTCTGCAACAGACTGAAGCTTCGCGTGAATTCAGCGCACATTGCATTCAGCTAATAAATAATCAGCAAATGCTGCAATTTTCTGGTGTTATTTTATTATTGTTGGGGCAGTCTACAACTATATTTTAAACTTCTTAAAATACAGTCCACTTCAGATTGATTTTGATCACTGCATAAAAAAATTAACGCAATCTTTATCTAATTCTGATTGGGTGGGCAAAGCCCACCTCTGCCCATTCCTGGAGCCGGCCGCTCCAAGCTGAACTTAAAAGTTGGCAACCCTGTGATTGGCAGCTTCATCAGGACAATGCGCCCACCCATGCATCATGTCTCATGCACAGTTTTTTGGTGAAACATCAAATCACCCAGGTAACAGCCCAGATTTAGCACCCTGCAGTTTCTGGCTTTTCCCAAAACTAAAATCACCTTTGAAAGGGAAGACATTTCAGACCTTCGATGGGATTCAGGAAAATATAACGAGGTCGCTGTTGCCGATTCCAACAAAGGATTTTGCAGAGTGTTTTGAACAGTGGAAGAGATGCTGGGAGAACTGTGTGAGGTCCCAAGATGTCTACTTTGAAGGTGTCTGAGGTGTTATTGTCCTGTGTACAATATCTCTTGTATCTTCTTTGATAAATGTCTGTATTTTTCATATTCCATGGCTAGATACTTTCCCGACAGCCCTCGTATTATTTATGCACATGTATACAGATTAGATAATTTTCTTATATGTACATATATGCGTGTGTGTGTGTGTTTTATTCCTCAGAGCCATTATAATTAGAAATGGAGAGATAATTCCTATGTCCACAGAGTTTACCCCTGAGTCAGAGAGACAAAGACTTCAGTTCCTTGTAAGTTGCAATATCTTTTGCTCTTTTTATCTTTTAACTATTTACACTCTATGTTAAGGAAACCAAATTCTTTGACATAATCTTATAATAATATTATTGTTATTATATTAATCTTTTTATGATTATAAATTGTCTTATGCCTCTCATAAATATTTTAAAAGATATTATAAAGCCATGTTTATTTTAATATTTAAAAGATATTATAAAAAGTGTTAAAGCCCTTGACCTTTTAAATGGTTTACTAATGCTAAGTGGGAAGTAGAAAGTTCTATGAATGAATGCCACTCTGAACTATGGATGTCAGGGTTGGTTGAATGGACTCACTTGCAGGAAGTATGGGCTCTTTAATAATAATAAAACAAAACAAAAACGACCGCAAGGGAAACAAGGCAGACAGGTCAGGACAGGGCACAGCAAGGCAAGGCGAGGCAGGATCAGGAAGGGCAGGACAAGATAGGAACCAACAAGGGCACATTCAATGATGTTCTGGCACAAGACTGCAAACACAAGGAGAATAAACAGGAAGCAAACATGGAGGGTAACGAAGGACAACAGGTGGGGCAACAATTAAAGCTGCAAGCAAAGTTGAAAGGGCCCTCACACCCGGGCTCACTGCCACTGCGGTGGCTTTAGCAAAACAGCAAACGGTCAGCAATATGCATTTAAAGTGGTAAATATAGGAGGAATATGTCAAAGTCATTTATATGTGCCAAACTTTCTGCTGCAAGCTGGTGGCGCTATGACTATAACTGAATATTGGCATGTAGAAGTCTTCAAGCCAGGACAGATCAAACATATGAAGTTTGGTGCAGATTGAACATGGTATGTTTGAGTTAGTGTAAAACATGACATATCCTGTTGCCAACAGGTGGCAATATGATTATAACTGTAAATTGGCCTTTAGATGTGTTCAGGCCAGGACCTTTAGGTTATACTGAACAACTTTGGTGTTCATCTGAATTAATCTCTAGGAGGAGTTCGTTAAAATACAACGTCTGAAAATGGCAAAAATGACACAAAATTTGCTGAGAAAATTAAAAATAACCGACTTCCTGTTGGCTTTCGGATTTTGCTCCAATATACTTTTTTGTAGGTATTGGTGTGTTACATGTGTGTACCGATTTTCGTACATGTAGGTGAAATGTAGCTCGAGGCGCGCTCCGTTGAAAGTTTATAGATGGCGCTGTCGAGCCATTTTGCCACACCCGATTGAATATTGGCCTTTAGATGTGTTCAGGCCAGGACACTTATCAAACATGTGAAGTTTGAGTCAGATCGGACATTTTACAACAACTTCCTTACAACAACATCCTTTTCCATGACGAAACATGGAACTTTGTCAGGTTGCCAAGGACACACTCTTTAACGAAAAATCAAGATTTTTGGATTCTGACATTGCAAAGGCCTTTAGAGTAGAGTAGACTAACCAAACATAATGTCGATGTCATTAAATCTCTAGGAGGAGTTCGTTAGAGCATAAAGCATGCCACTTCCTGTTGCCAACAGGTGGCGATATGACTGTAACTGAATATGGGCATGGGCATGTGTTCAGGACAGGACTCTTATAAAGCATGTGAAGTTTGGGGCAGATCGGACATTGTCTGCCTGAATTATAACAACTTCCTGTTTCATGGCGAAACATCTACGTTTGTCAGGCCACCACGGACATGCCCTTCAATGAAAACTCAAGATCTTCGAAATTTAATGTCATAAAGGGCTTTAGATTACACTGACCAAATTTGGTGTTGATCTGTTGAAATCTCTGGGAGGAGTTCGTTTAAATACAACGCCTGAAAATGGCAAAAACTGCACAAAACTTGCCTAGAAAATTCAAAATAACAGACTTCCTGTTGGACTTCATACGTCGTACTGGGGGACACTTTTGTAGATATTGGTGTGTTGCATGTATTTACCAAATTTCGTACGTGTGTGTGAAACATAGCTTGAGGGGCACTGTATTCAAATTTTATAGGTGGTGCTATTGAGCCATTTTCCACACCCACTTCTGAAACCCATATCAGATGTAAATTTTCGCCACTCCTGGCGCGTGTGCAAAGTTTCATGAGTTTTCGAGCATGTTTAGGCCCTCAAAAATGCGACTGATTTTGGAAAAGAAGAAGAAGAAACTGAACAATTCCAATAAGGTCCTCACACCATCGGTGCTTGGGCCCTAATAATCAGGCAACAAGATGGGCAGGGTCAAGACAATAGACATGAGAGCACATGGCACACAGAAGCAAATAAAACAAAAGCCAAAAAAGAAACAGGGCTTGCAGACGAGATAGCGTGAAAACAAGATATGAAAACAAGAAATGACAGGAGTGTCAGGGCTTCATGGGCGCAGAAGATGTGGGGGGCATAAAAATCAGAAACATTTGGACTGATGAAACGTGAAGACTTTTAACACACGATTGTTTGTTAATCTCGATTGTGTGTCATCTCCAGGTAATAAAGTATATGAATAATGCAATGCTATTTGACATAGCATTTATTACAGTATAGAAACTATTCTGCCTTATTCTGTGATAAAAATTGGAATATATACTGTATATAAACAAATCATAATAATTAACACTTCTGTCCCCCTCATTTCTGAAATGATGGCTACGCCCGTGCAGGGCTCTGTCACAAAGCTACAAATAATCTAGACTGAAGTGACAGAACCCTGACAATGGATGCATAGTGTATGGCGCAGCCAGGCAAAAACTTTTCAACCTTTCAATTTAAAAGAGTTCAAACGTACAGGGAATTTTGACAGAATCAGTGTTTTATGACTGACCTGCTAAATTGTCCAGTGATTAATTGACTGTAGCTATCAATTCTGAAAGGGATAATATTTCTTTGGCTACAGAGAATAATATTGTATCCTATTTATATATACACTATTTATTAACATAGTAATAACATGGTTGACAGTTAAAGACAACTTTACGGCAAGTTTAAGGCAATATAACTTGCGAGCACAAAGCAAAAGACACTTCTCTTCAAATACAGACAAGAAGACTTTACGTTATTATAAAGCCCAAAGCAGACCTCCTTTTTTAAAGCCCAAAGTGTACTTCGGCCATTCGCATTCCACGACGAACTCCGCATACTGTCCTTGCATACAATCACCTTTCACAAGTGATGTTGTACATGCATTGTCCATGCAGACATTAAATCAGGCAGATGTTCCCAGACCCTCTTGATGATTTTTTTTTTTTTTACTTGTTAAAATGTTTTTGTATTTGTTTAAAATAGAGTTGCAGGTATCTCTTAATCCCCTCAGATAAGCACTTGTTTACACAGGCATATATTGTTTTCAATTCACTGTCACTTATAATGTATCAAATCCAAATGAGTTAATGTCAAATTTAATGTATATAGTGATTTTGTTGACATCATTGTTTTATCATTTTGTAGGTATAGTTTGCCGTGTCTGTTGGGCTTTAGATGATTATTTCTGTCTGTATTTGTTTTTAGGGTTTCATGCAACCCCATCTGTTAGGAGGAGAGTTCACACACTTGGAGTTCCCCAGAAGGGTGCAACGAAAGGAGGTGGGCAAGAAGATGTTGTACCGGGACTTCACCATGACTGGCTGGTGAGGATATTACATTTGCTGTCATATTCCTTCACGATTGTGTTTGTTTGTGTAGCAAGAAATATTGCTTCCTTTATTATAAAAATCAAAACTTTGTTTTATTAAACTGCTTTCAAAACTCCAAATGGCAACAGTGGAATCCAACCATATTTATTTCTAATAAATTTATGGTCTCCTCCAGGATATTTTTTTTCAGGGGTTAAAAATTTAATATTTTTAGTTGTTGTTGTTGTGTGGTTCAGTGGTGTAAAGTATATGAGTACATGTAATTAGGTACTGTAGCAGCCTAAAAACTAACTAAAGCCGCAGGAGCTGAGTGAGGGAATAACTTGTGACACGTCAATCATCCTTTAAATTTGTGTCTTGAGATTTCTTTTATCCACCGACAACTTGTACATTGAGGCATGCATTTCTTAAAGGATCGGCAGATTATCAATGCAAAAGTTTGAATATACGGTCAACAAAAAAATGCGTGCTCCCACACTCCCCCCCTTCTTTCCCTGACAACCCCCACTCACAACAGGTGTTTTAACTCTCAAATAATTATTTGAGACACTCCCACATTTTCCCACAGTCACATGACATCACACATGAATATTTACATGGCTCCTATAGGTACTGTACTTGAGTATATTTTTGGCTACCTTGTAGTTTTACTGAATATTTTAACATGGCTGAATATTTTACTGGTATTGGCAACTTTTACTCTCTACTTCACTACATTTTTGAATAGGTACAGTTGAGATCAAAAGATTACATACACATTGCAGAATCTGCAAAATGTTAATTATTTTACCAAAATAAGAGGGATTATACAAAATGCATGTTATTGTTTTATTTAGTACTGACCTGAATAAGATACTTCACATAAAAGTTAACGTTAACAGTCCACAAGAGATTGTGATAGTTGTTCATGGGTCCCTTGTTTGTCCTGAACAGTTAAACTGCCCACAAATTCTTTGGTTTTTCAGCATTTTTGTGTATTTTTTTTATGTACACAATTTTAAACCCCTTGCTCTTAATACATCGTTTCTCTTTCTGAAGCATCAATGAGCATTTGACCCTTCTGTAATAGTCCCTCAGTTGTCCTCAGTGTCAAAAGATGAATCTCAAAATCATGCAGTCATTGTTGGAAAGGGTTCAAATACACAAAAATTATAAATAAAAATAAATAAAAATAACATGCATTTTGTATGATCCCTCTTATTTTGGTAAAATAATTAACATTTTGTAGATTCTGCATCTCTGTATGTAAACTTTTGACCTCAACTGTATATGAATTCTTTACTCATCTGCATTTGTAATGAGTCATGCAATGGCTCAGGCACCTAACTTTTTCTGCAGCAGTTTATTATTAATATTGGCTTCTACAGGGCATTAAAGGTACTATATCTTATGCATTGTGCCCTTACTCACACAAACTTGTCAACAAGGCTTCTTTATGTGAATCCAAGTGCATTAGCAGGTAGTTGTGAATCGCTGCTGGTGTATTATAGACAAGATAAGGACATGACTGCAGCCAGCGATGAGGCCAAAACCAGCATGTCTTTTGCAAGAAGCCTTTGATTTTTAATTTTACTTAACATTATTTTATTTATCTGTCATACTGAGGAGACCTTTTTTAAAGAATATTGGTTTACTTATGCCCTTTTTGAGCAGTCATGCTTCACTGAGACTTGATTGTCTGTAGACGTTTAAGAAGCAGTTGTGTTGATATTGATTTATTGGAACCTTGAGGTGTGGCATGTCTCTTAGGTGTTAAGGACTAGTGCATCTTTGAGCCTACATTCAGTATGAGTAAAATACTTAAAAGGGACATATCATGAAAATCTGACTTTTTCTGTGTTTAAGTAACTTTGTTTTGGTAAGCCTTTCTCTGCAAGCATGTGAAAAAAACAATAAATTAGTAATGACAAAAAATTATGATATCCAATGTACTTTTCTACGAGTGATTTATAAAGTTAGCTTAGGTTGTTTAATACTTGTTGGATAGTAAGTCACCCACTACAAATAACATGGCGATAAGCCTGTGTGAAGTGATATTAGGTTAATATTGCAGCCCTACCGATGTGTTGGGTTTTGCTCAATATGATGTTAAGTGGCAGATCAGTGGACTTGCTGCAGTTGAATATCTAAATACGAATGACAAAAAATGATGATATCCAATGTATTTTTCTATGAGTGATTATAAGGTTACCTAGCTTAGCTTGTTTAATACCGTACCTTGATTGGATAGTAAGTCTCCCACTGCAACTAACAGGGCGATAAGCCTGTGTGTGAACTGATATTAGGCTAATATTGTAGATCTACCGATGTGTTGGGTTTTGCTCAATATGATGTTAAGTGGCAGATCAGTGGACTTGCTGCAGTTGAATATCTAAATACGAGATATCCTCAGTCCCAGACAAAACCTAAAATACTATGTGGAGGACTAATAATTTAGTAAATATGACCGTGTGGTGAAACTATGAACCGAACTCATATTTAAAAAACTATCTCCATGCTATGTACACATGCTTTGTACACATATCTATCCTTACAAGTACAATTTTGGCTGTATTATTTGTGTCCCCTTCAAAAATTGCTCTTGATGTATTTATTTTGTTTATTGTCCCCCCTACTGTTAGATGGAATTTATGCCCTTGCTTGTGACGTAGGTAGGGGATCTTATTATAATATTACCGGTCCTTAATCTGCAAGTTTCCTGCGCCGCCATTCTGTTTTTGCAAGCGGCAATGGTGTACCAGTTCTAACACCATGGCAAAATTTCGAGCAAAGCATGCTAACTGTTCTGTCATTTGCTGCAAAGATGAGCACAGAACACTATTTAGAGTCCCAGCCTCAGAGGAGACGAGAGCAGTGGATGTTTTTTATTTATTTACTGTATATTTAAGCTGCTGCCACACAAACTTGTGTGTTTTTAATATAAACTTGTGTGTATTTATTTAACAGTTTAAGTGCTTAGACTTAAAAATGTAGTTTAGTACTCACATGCCGTGTGGTAGCCGCTTTCTGTGCACGTGCTTCGGTGTGTGCACTTAGAAAACCGTATATCAGAAGTTTTAACTGATATGGCTTTAAAAGGTATGATTTCAGCATGATAGACATGATAATCAAAACCAGACAGATGTTTTTTGGCAGAGTATCTGAGGCACGAGCTGTAAAGGCACAAACGGCTTTATTCTGGAAAAGGGAGGCAGGGAGCAGCAGCTCATTTGCATTTAAAAAGACATGCACTGCTTCCACTCAAAATAGGCATTTTCAAAATTAAATAAATGATCTGTGGGGTATTTTTAGCTGAAACTTCACAGACACATTCTGGGGACACCTGAGATTTACAGTAAATATACTCATCATACATAGAAAATACAATTATTAATTATTTAAAATATAAGATTAATATAATATATACAAAATTTATAGTGTATTGCCCACATATTTTTATAGATTAAATCCTTCATTTCAAATGTATTGTAATTATGTTAACACTCCTTTCATATAATATACTTACCTAAATGTTTTTGGTGTCTTTAAATAGTACAATCAAGTACACTATTACTGTCATTAATAGCACTTTTTTTCTACATTAAAAATATAGCACTTGAAGTACTTTATGCTAAAAGTATGCTTACTGTTAAACTTGAGTTTTGGTACCCCAGTTAAAAATAAAGTTGTAACGAATTAGTCCACTGGAGGCGAGCGTAGTGAAGAACCCAAGTGCAGTTTATTCAAAACAAGGTGAAATCCAAACATAATCCAAACAGACGAAGACTTGACATGAACAGACTTGACTTGACGAGGCATGAACAGACTTGACTTGACGAGGCATGAACAGACTTGATGTGGCATGAACAGACTACACTCACCGACAGCGGGTTACAACATCAATACACGACAAAAGAGACAATGGCAATATGATGGCTAGTTATAGCAGACAAGGAGGGTCACATGACATGAACAAACCAATGGGAAACAAGACACATGACTAAGACAACCAATCAGAACATGACACATACACAAGGCAGAGAGACATGAGGCAAGGAAAGCATGACACTAACAGCAGGAAACAACTACAAAATAAAAAACATGGAAAACATGAACATGAAACAAAACCCAAAACCCACAATACATATCCCCTCCTCTAAGGGCGGCTCCAGACGCCCAAACAAACACAAACAAAACCCAACAAGTCCAGGAGGGTGGTAGAGCAAAGGCAGAACAGGGGGAGGGATGGAAGGCCAGGCCCGTGAAGAGGAACAGCCATGGCGGAGCAGGCAGAGCGGGGAGCCATGGCGGTGGAGGTAGAGCGGGGAGCCATGGCGGAACAGGACAGACAGTGAGTTCATGAACGGCCTCCATGGCCGTAACAGGAAAGACAGTGAGTTCGTGAACGGCCTCCGTGGCCATGACAAGACAGTCTGCGAGTTAGTGAACGGCCTCCGTAGCTGTGACAAGACAGTCTGTGACAGGGCAGGCAGTGAGTTCGGAAGCGGACGCCACCACCTCAGGAGGTTCTGCAGCGGATGCCGCCACCTCTGGAGGTTCTGCAGCGGATTCAGGCACAGGAAAGGCCCTTGGAACAGACTCGTGGATAGGAGAGGCCTCTGAGACAGACTCATAGGCAGGAGAGGCCACTGGGGCAGATTCATAGACAGGAGAGGCCTCTGGAGCGCAGTGTGCAGCCCACACGCTCAAAATGGCGACCGCCATTACGGGCAGTGCAGTAGACAGTGGGATGCCTGGCGGGCTTGAGAGCGTAGGGACCACTGGAATGTCAGCTGCTCTCCATCAGTCTTTTCAGTCCTCGCCCAGGCTCTGCATCTATTTTGACTTAACTGGCATGATGTGAGCAGGTCCTGGAGTAGCAGGCATGACGTGTGCAGGCTGTGGCTTGGTAGGCATGACGTGAGCAGGCTGTGGATTGGCAGACATGATGTGAGCAGACCTTGGCTTGGTAGGCATAAGTGACCAGTGTGGGGTATTGCGTGGCATTAACTGTGATATGTTTCTTTCCAAACCAAAATGGAACATGTCTTTCAGAAAGGTATTGTTAAAAGCCACCTGGTAGCGCAGTTCACAAAAATCTGCCAAATATTCCTCAACAGAGCGATTACCTTGACGGAGGCAAACTAGGCGATCTGCTGGGTTCATTATGGTGGTTGTGTATTCTGTAACGAATTAATCCACTGGAGGCGAGCGTAGTGAAGAACCCAAGTGCAGTTTATTCAAAGGAAGCATGACACAAACAGGGAGCATGACTAAACTACAAAATAAAAGACATGAAAACATGAACAAGAAACAAAACCCAAACCCCACATTACAAAAGTGTACTTGAATGCACTAAAAATACTTAAATACAAGCAAGTGCATGTCTAGTACATTCTTATTTTTTGTGCTATATAAAATTGTAAAAGTTATACACTAAATACACTAATTACAGTTTTTCTCAATTGATTTGACTCATGTCTCCAAACTCAGGTCACTGTTCTCAAAAGAGTTAACACAGTGATCTGAATACTTTGTAATTGTCCTAAACAGATTGTTGGATGATTAGCGAGGGATACCCGGTTCGTCTACCCGTCACAACATATCGTGTGAACATATTACTGACAATTTGATAATTTAATTAATAGTCTATATTTTACGGATAACTTAAACTATGTTAAAATAAATGTTACTGGAATAATTTGAGGAATGTTTCATTTGCATAGAACGTGTTGTCTTTCTTAACGCCGTAATGCACCTTCGCGTGAAGTGGAAAATCGATTCCTGAGCAATCGATGCCAACTAATTCAGCACCTTCACTTGGGACAGCGCCTCTGTAACGTCGAACGTAAGAGGCAGCGTGTTAAGAAGCTTCCTAAGGGACACTTCGGGGAACACACTTAGGAACATAAACAACTTTGGTAAGATATATCTTTCGAGTCTTCTTAGCGCGCTAAGAGTGAGCGTTATCGGGGAACCGGGCCCAATACTTTAAAATATCTGAAAAAAATGTTTTACACAAATCACAAACATTTATGTACTATTTGTCCAAACACAACAAACAAAACTCTGTAATTTGTCATTAGATCAAATGAACATAGTATATTTTCGATTGGCCCTAAACTGATAGCTATTCTGTTAATCATACACTCAACACAGGAAATGCAGTTTTCCAAATCGTTTACACATTTATTACAATTGCTTTAGTAATAATAATAGGGAAAGTATACAATGAGCAAGAATGAATATGCAAAATAATAATAATAATAAAATATAAATAAAATGTATTTACTGTAAATATCCCCCAAAAAATTCAGAATTTACGTTTGAGATCATTCAGGTGGACCATCAAGATTATTTTGAATGGAACAGGAGTATTGTTGACATGGTGGTCCAGAACAACACCACCAGCCACAAAGGAAGAGGCCTGTGGAGATGTTGAGACAGGAGCTTTTTAAACATGGATTCAGACTTCTTAAATTTTTTCTCCTATGATGCAAGTGCAGCAAATATGTAGTGTAGATAAAATGCAATGAAATTCTCTTCCAGATGTAAATGAAAGGCAAGATCAATAATTCAGTAATTCAATTATATATACATATCCACCACTGTGCTGTAAAAGACTGATCTGTAGTTATGTTTGTTTGCAGTTCTTGCTGCTAAAGGTGGCACAAACAGATTTTAAGTTTAAAGGGGCAATTAGTTTTTTCTCATGGGTGATAGCAGGTGTTGGATAACAATTTTTATTTCGTTTAGATATACACAATATATATAAAACAAAACTCCCTGTTGAAGAATTGCAATAAACATGTATTTTCATTAGCATATTTGTGCATCTACAGCTGAACGTGTTTTATAATCAATAGAGAAAACACCTAGAGATTTGATGTTAGTATTTAATTTTAATAATTGCATTACTAGAAAAAATAGCAGTGCTTCATTTTGCAGTAAAGTTGAACTGTTTGGTTAAGATAATTTTGTGTTTGGATGGCTGTGTTAAATGTTTTGAGAAAAAGTTGCATTGGAGAAAAGTGTCAAATCGATTGAGAAAAACTGTAAAAGTATATTTCTACTTCAGTAGTACTTCAGTGCAATTGCAAAAGTATACTAAATACCACTGATATTTAAATAGATTTTTAGTGCATTGAAAAAGTATACTATCGCAAAAATATACAGAGGACTTTGCTAGTAGCACATTTGGGGAGACTGTACTTACAACTATTTCATTACTAATATACTTTAAATAAAATCTATTAAATTTTTAAGTTTTTAATTTCTTTCTTTTTTTTGTTTCTACAGCACTTGTACATTTGTTGTTTTTAAATGATTACTATAAACAAATTTTAATTTGCTGACATTATGGTCAGGTCCAGTATGGTTTGTACTTTAATACCTTAACCTTAAGTCCCACTTTCTTTTCTCTTTTTTTGTCTCAACAGGGCTTATAAAACCATTGAGGATGAGGACCTCAGATTTCCTTTGATATATGGAGAAGGAAAAAAGGTAACACTGGTGAGAGAATCGGAGGACAAATTGAAGCAAAAAGAGCAAATCAAAAGGCAACTCTGGTCAGGCACCGCCACAAGACATGGCACTGGAACAGAAGTGTCAAGGCAAAGAGAAATTAACAATGGTATAGACAACAAGAGGAAAGAAAAGTAAGATTTATTTCATAGATGAAAAAACAAGGAAAGAATTAGACAAGATGAAAAAGGATAATGACAGGATTAAGAGAGTCTCAACTACATCACCTTGTTATTGAAGGACTGCTACTATGCATAGAGCTGTACATACAGTACTATCATGAAATATCACTTATCTGACACTCAAAGTGGATACCACTCCTGTTTACTGGAGGGGTGCCCTCCAATTGCAAAGCATTATACATTTTTTAAAGGGGTGGTTGATTGTGATTTCACTTTTTTAACGTTAGTTAGTGTGTAATGTGGCTGTTTGAGCATAAACAATATCTGCAAAGTTACGACTTTTAAAATTATGGCAGTTTAATGCCTACAAAAACGTGTGGAGGGCTTTCAGCCCTCTTTGTGTGAAGACCGACGAGTGTAAAGACCTGCGACTTTACCTGTGTGACTACACCGAGCAACGAAACCGGCAACGCACTTAAGTATTATTTTTTGACGTCACAAACCCAGGAACATGCAGCAAGGGGGGCGAGGCCATGCTGCGCTGCTTTAGAGAAGAGTAAGAGTTGTTGCCATGCCGTCAAAACTAGGCACGAAAAATCTATTTATATATGAATCGCGATTCTGTCTTCTAATGACACTGGTCTGCTCATTTCTAACAATTGGAAATACTCAACCCACTCTCCCCTATGCAATTATAACTCATTTGAATCACATGCAATTACTATAACAGCTCCCATAAAACTCCAAGTTGTGGTAATTTACCGCCCTCCTGGGCAAATTCTAGGCACCTTCCTAGAGGAGCTGGATAGGCTGCTGTCCTCATTCCCAAAAGTGGATGGCAGTCCACTTTTAGACTTTGGCGACTTCAACATTCATCTGGACAAGCTTTATGCTACAGACTTCCACTCACTCCATGCTTCATTTGATCTCAAACGACTTACCACTACAAGTATGCACAAATCAGGCAACCAACTTGACTTAATTTACACACGCAATTATCTCTTCAAAACATTCAATTCTCTCCTCTGTCCCCCTCCACCACCTCCCAACACTTCTATAACAGCTGTTGATTTCACCACATCCTTCACATACAAAACTAGAACAATCAGTAATCAATTCTCAGCCTCACACACACAGGACCTCAAAACAACCACACCCACTGCTAAAACTCCCATCTTCTCCTTCTGTCCCCTCACTGAGGCAGAAGTATCAAAACTTCTCCTCTCCAGCCATCCTACACACAGGCACCTCCCCTACTGCATTCAAGCAGGCTCGGGTAACCCCACTGCTTAAAAAACCTACATTCAACACTTCTCTTTTATGGCGCTTTTCCACTGCATTTTCGCAAAAAAGTCGCCGCAACAGACCATCTGTTTGGACATTTAACCGAGCTTCAGAGTGGTGGGATGTGATTGTTCCCGGTTTTACAGACACTCAGTCAAAACAGTTGTGTTCGAGATTGTGTTGTGATTTAAATCTAGCGGGTCTGTTGTGTCTCATGTCGCAAGTTCAGTGACGCAGGTAGTGACGATTCTCTCCGGCTAATAAGTGATCAGCAGAGTTTACACGTCACGTTTTGGTACAGGTAGTGACGATTCTCTCCGGCCAATCAGTGATCAGCAGAGTTTACACGTCACGTTTTGGTAACGGTACGGTTTGCTTGGAACCTCAACCGAGGTGGTACTGAAAAAAGTACCAGGTACAAGGTACTGTACCCAGTGGAAAAACCCCAAAACCGAGCCGTACCGTGCCGTACCATGCAGTGAAAAAGCGCCAATAGACAGCTACAGACCTGTCTCTCTCCTTCCATTCATAGCGTAAACCCTCGAACAAGTTGTTTTCAACCAGATATCATTGTATCTTTCACAGAACAACAAACTGGATGCTAACCAGTCAGGTTTCAGGAGTGGCCATTCAACTGAGACTGCGCTACTGTCAGTCACGGAAGCCTTGCGGTTCCTCAGGGATCAGTTCTTGGACCCCTCCTCTTCTCCATATACACAACATCACTGGGTCCCATCATACATGCACATGGCTTCTCCTACCATTGCTATGCTGATGACACACAGCTCTATCTCTCATTTCAACCAGATGATCCAACAGTAGCTGCACGGATCTCAGGCTGCCTAGAGGACATCTCGGCGTGGATGAAAGAACATCACCTACAGCTCAACCTGGCAAAGACTGAGCTTCTTGTCTTCCCTGCCACTCCAACTCTACGGTATGATTTCTCCATCCAGCTAGGTTCTTTTACAATTACCCCATCAACTTCGGTCAGAAATCTTGGTGTAATCTTTGATGACCAGCTGACCTTCTAAGACCACATTGCAAAGACTGCTCGATCTTGAAGGTTTGCATTTCACAACATCAGAAAGATCAGGCCCTTTCTAACGGAGCATGCTGCACAACTTCTTGTCCAGGCCCTTTTCATTTCTAGGCTGAACTACTGCAATGCTCTTCTGGCTGGACTTCCATCAAGCACAATCAAAACTCTACAAATGATTCAGAATGCAGCGGCACGACTGGTCTTCAGTGAGCCCAAAAGAGCCCATGTTACACCTCTCTTTATCTCCTTGCACTGGCTGCCGGTTTGCGGCACAGAGAGGGTCAATCACTTTCCAGAACATTTTCGTTCACTGTTCCTGGCTGGTGGAATGATCTTCCCACCCCTATCCGGTATGCTGAATCCCTGACAATTTTCAAGCGACAGCCGAAAACTAATCTCTTTCGACGCTACTTGACTTCATCCTAAATTAAAAAAAAAAACTTTGTCTTTCTCTTTATTTATTCCTTCCCTTTCTAGCTTGTACTTATTTGAACAATGCCTGAAACTTGGTATTATGAGCACTTTCTGTGTCTGTTTGCCTCTTTAAGAAGAATCGCTTTATGTATTTCCATATTGTAAGTCGCTTTGGATAAAAGCGTTTGCAAACTGACTAAATGTAAAAGCTATGAGAAGCGTTAAACACGGGCGCGCATGCAGTGGCCGCGCTGTATTAAAGCTTTAATCAGGATAAAACCGTATATTAGAAGCAAACTGTTACAGTTATGGACTTTTTGTGTTTTTCCCTGTTTCAGTTCTCCTGCCTGGATTTTTTCCTTTGATCCAGTTTTCCTTAGTTGTCTTGATTGTGTCATTCTGTTCACCTGTGTATCGTTAATCATCTTGTTTGCTCCTTTGTTTTGCCTGTGTATATATTCCCTCAGTCTCTGTCTGGTCTTCGTCGTGGATTGATTTAAGTTTAGTGTGTGTGTTGGCATACTCTCCTTGTGATTCTCCTGTCCTATGTGTTTGAAGTTGGAATTAAAGGACTATTATTGTTACTCCGTCAATCTCTACAGCCACATTCTGTAACTGAATCCATAACCGAAACAGTTTTGCAGCGTTCCTCTTTTGTTTATTTATTTATTTTTCCCCGTGGATTTACCTTCTGTAAAGCTTCTCTGCTTGGAGCAAGAGGATCACTCCCTCAAGGTCCATACGAGGGATTTTCTACACCTGGCTAACCAGACTCATTACCCGGACAGCTGCCTGTGCACCTTTTACTTCATCGAACTGAACAACTCTACACCTCACGTGCCTGAGGGAGTACTGGTGGAGATCGAGGACTTGGAGGGACGCTTTTTTTTTTAGCTGCAGCTGGTTACTGGACTATTCTATGAGGAACTTATGGACATTTTTCAAATGGACTCAATAGACTGGTTTGGGGAGGTAATACCCAGTTATCCGGTGTCTTCGCTGGTTCCGTTCAGCTCTCCTGTGTCTCCTGAGCTCCCTGTGACTCTCGTGTTCCCTCCCAGCCACCCTCTCCCGCCTCCTCTCCTAAAACCAGCCAGTTCCTCAGCCCTGGTTCCTGTCAGTCCCTCAGCTCACCCTCAGTTAGCATCATCTGGGCACTCTGATCCACCTTGGGACTTCCAGTCTCCAGCTCCGCCTAGGTGAAGATCCCCTGTCTCCGCCTCCAGCCTTCGAGTCCCGGACTCCACCTTGGTCCTTCGACCCATCGGCTCCGCCTTGGCTCCTACCTCACTTGTCTCCGCCTTGGCCCCTCATCCCACCGGCTCCACCGGGCTCCCTCTTCCCTCCGGCTCCGCCTTGGTCAGTCGTCGACCATCCGCCACTTCGGGACTCCACTCCTTTGGCTTCGCCTCGTCACTCCGTCCCTCTGGCTCTGTCAGGATCCTCCTTCCCGCCGGCTCCACCTTCGTCCTCAGTCGCTCTGGCTCCACCGCAGTCTTCTGGATCCTAGCCTCTGCCTCTTGTCACTTCCATGACAAGTCTCTCTGTCTGAGCAATAATGAGCAACAGCTCTTTGGACTCACCTGTTCCTGAGAATTGGACCCCCATTACAATGAAGTATGCATATGGATTGTTATTAAGGAGTTGTATTAATATTATGAGAGATTTTATTTTTTTTAGTTAGAAACTTGTATGCAGTGCCGATCCTAGACTTCTGGGGGCCCTACGCAAAACTGTGTCGGTGGCGGGGGGGTTTTGGAGTGGGGTATGAGTGGTTATGAACGAATGAATGAAATGCATTTGTCCGTGTTTCACTCGAATCGCGCTCGCGGAAAAAGCTTGAGAAATAGTGTCTCTTCCGCGGCTCGGTACGCTTTCAACTAGTTTTTTTTTGTCTCGAGTAAGACTGTACGACATTCACATTACATGATTTGACTGATTTTTACATAGAAAGGGCAACAGCGCACCGCATTAAAAGAACTGAGTGTCTATTTACACTGTGCAAATAGCCCGCCTTGTTGGCAGAGGCTATTTACACTAGCTTCACCCACAAACGTATGATAGGGATGGTCAATACTATAAAAGACGGCCAACAATTGTCAGCTACAGTGGCGTAGATGGTAAAG